CTCCTGAGCCCAGAGTCTGGCCTGTCCATCCTGGCCTTTGGGGTGCCCTCCCGTTGGGAGACCCTGAGTTTCCTCAGAGCCCTGGTGAGAAGGAGCCCATGGGCCCAGTTTGGCCTGGGCAGTCAATGTAAAGGGCTGCTTAACCGTAGCCAGAGAAGGGCAGGATCTTTAGCACCCCAGAGTGCAGCCCTAGTGGGCAGCGCAAGTGTGAGGGTCATAGCTGCTGTGGCCGAGGCATTCTCTGGGATGGAGGTTCCACTGGATCTGCAGCTAGGCTCTGTGACTTATTTCTCCAGCCACAACCAGGGACCATGGAAGGCTCATCCAGGCCCATGAGAATGAGTGGTAGAGGGCTGGAGGGGTTGCTTAGTGGTTAGAACACATGCTGCTCTTGCAAAGGACCCAAGTGCAGTTCTCAGCACCCACGTGGTGGCTAAAAACCACATGTAACTCCAGTTCCAGGGGATCTGATACCCTCTTCTGGCCTCCACAGGCACTGCATGCAGGTGGTGAACATACACACAGGCACTCATACGTATAAAAATAATAACTACATCTTTTTAAAAAGTATTTATAGTCGGGTGTGGTGGTGCGCGCCTTTAATCCCAGCACTCAGGAGGCGGAGGCAGGCAGATCTTTGTGAGTTCAAGGCCAGCCTGGTCCACATAGTGAGTTCCTGGACAGCTGGGACTACAGGGAGACCCTGTCTCCAAAAGACTAAAAATAAGTAAGTAAATAGGAGTGGTGTCATGTGTCCTCACCCCCTGACCGGGGCTGAAAGCTCAGCGCTGATCTGCTTTGGGGGAGATCTCAGGAAGCCCCGTCTATGGGGTTCAGAAGTCCTGGGCTGGCAATTTTTGAAGACACAGACAGGAAAGGATAACACGAAGGCCAACAGTGTGTGGCTTTTCCACAAACACATCTCGGAAGGGGAAAGGGTCCTTGCTGTGCTGAAAAGACCCGTGTGATTGAGAACAGCCAGGAATGGAAGTCACCCAGGGAGGGGCAGGCCCAACTGCCATTCAGGGCTTGTCAGGTAAATTATCATCCTGGGAAAAAGAGAGCGCTCAAAAGGAGAGGAGGGGTCTTTATGGACGGCTCTGTTGTGGTTTTCTGAGTGAGGGAAACCGTGACATTTGAGCAGCATGAAGGCTTAAGTCACAAGCAGAAAGCAAGCGGCTGTCCACGTCCCCCTTCCCACCTGTCGGGCACCTGCCTTCCACTGCAGCCGCCTCAGAACTGACGCAGCAGTAACAGCAGACCGGTCTGTTTACAGAGGGTGTTGGGCTGCTGGAGTTTCCTTCTAACACCTGGGTGCCGTGCAGCGTTCAGGGAGGTGCAGAAGTCTGGGTCAGTTACAGGTGAGGGTGAGGCTGGGAGTGCAACGTAAACGATCCCAAGTTGTCCCACAAACTGGAGGAGTGGGAGCCTGGCTTCACACGCAGAGCCCTGCTCTTTGCATGAGGGGTCAAGGACCACAGCTGAGTGTGTCCAGGAGTATGCAGTTCGTTCTGGAAAAAGGACTCATGTATTGCACCTCTGCCCCTTAGCTAGGTTTCCTTTCAAGATGAGGACCTGTAACTAGGAATTTCAAAAATGATTAGCAAGGGGGCTGGAGAGAGAGCTCAGGGGTTAAGAGCAAATATTGTTCTTAAAGAGGACTCAAGTTTGGTTCCCAGCACCCCTATCAGGGAGCTCACAACTGCCTGTGACTCCAGCTCCAGGAGATTCGATGCTCTCTTCTGGCTTCCCAGGGCACCGCACTCTACATACATACACCCACATACAGACACACACACAATATGCACATAACAAAAAATAAAATCTTTTTAAAAATGATTATCAAGGTCAAAGGAAATCAGGCTCACTGGAGAGGGCTTGATGGACAACAAAAGACCACAGCTGTGTGCATCACCCCCACTGGAGAGACCTACAGTTATCGCCTCATGCAAACCACACCAGGTTTCCAGTCACTCCCAGATACTGTTACCACTGCTGGAGCTCTTTATGGCTGACTGTGCGCTGTGCTCTCTGACCTCATAGGTGCTGGTGTCCACTCCCACTCCACACAAGGAGAAGGGAAAGAAATCACAGGCCTTCTGGGAAGCAAGCAAACGATCCCACTGTACACATGGTCAGGGACACAAACCCACTTTACAAGCACGGCTTAAACTGTTCTGTGAAACCCCTTCCCATCTGCATCTGCAGTCAAGAATCTGAAGAACCCTTCCCTGAGAAAGCTACAGTGATAACTCAGTTGGTAAGTGCTTTTATCTTGCAAGCATGAGGGCCTGAGTTCAATTTCTCAGAACCTATGGGGGGTGGGGGTGGTGAAAGGAGGCTGGATATGGTGACACATATTTGTAATCCCAAGTGCTGGGGAGGCAGAGAGAGGTGGCTCACTGGCTAGACAGCCTAACCTACTTAGCAAGTTCCAGGCCATTGAGAAACCCTGTCTCAAAAAACAAGGTGGGGGTCAGCGAGATGACTCAACACATAAAGATGCTTGTAGTCAAGCCTGCCAGCCAAGGACGAAACCCACACAGTGGGAGAAAAATCAACTCCTGCAAGTTGTCCTCTGTCACACACACACACACACACACACACACACACACACACACACGTGCATACACATACAGAGAAAGATGTGGATCTAGAGGGAACCTTCCCTCTGTGGAAATGTCAGGTTACTGTCGCTCTGTGGCATTTCCTGGGAAGACATGAACAACTATATTTGCCCCATATAGAGCACTGACAGACTCAATTCCACACAGGTCCAGCCTGGTAAACTAAGGAGTTTATTGAGGTTACTTACAAGAGCAGGCGTGACAATCTCTCTAGGGCTGCAGAGATGGAGTCCCCTTCTCCCTGCCTGCTCTTCCCCACCACAACACCCAACCTTTTACCTCCTATACCTCCAGAGAACACAAACAGCTGGGGTGCACAGGAGAGAGGGAGTGGTTAGAATTACAGGTGAGGATCTGATGACTCTCCCACCCCCTCTCTTAGAAGGGAATGTTAAGGCCCAAGCAGGTATTTTTAAATTTTATGTGTATGAGTGTACTGCCTGCATGCACGTAAGTGCACCCATGTTGTGCAATGCCCACGGAGGTCAGAAGAGGGAACTGGGTCCTGTTCTAGTTTCTCCATTGTTGTGATAAAACACTCTGACCACTACCAACTTGGGGAGGAAAGGGTTTATTTGGCTTATATCTCCTGGGTCACAGTTCATCTGGGAGCCCAAGGTAGGAACTCAGCAGGAACCTAGAGGCAGGAGCTGGAGCACAGGCCATGGAGGATTGCTGCTTACTGACTTGCTCCCCTGGCCCCTACTCAGCCTGCTTTCTTATACAACACAGGCCCACCTGCCCAGAGGTGGCACCACCTACAGTGAGCTGGGCCCTTCCATATCACCCAACAATCAAGAAAATGCCCTACAGACATGGCCATAGGCCAGTCCTATGGAGGCAATTTCCCAATTGAGGCTCCCTCAACCCAGATGTGTTGACACTAAAGCTATCCAGCACAGGTCCCCTAGAGCTGGAGTTATGGATGGTTGTTAGCCATCATGTGGGTGCTGGGACCCAAACCTGGATCCTCTACAAGTACAGCCAGTGCTCTTAACCACTGAACCATCACTCCAGTCCCCCAATCAGGTATTTATATCTACGTTTATTTTGAGATGACAGTGAGGGGACAGGACTCCACAACAGCCTCTCAGCGCTGTGAGAATACGCAACACAATTTTTAAACAAATCACTGACCAGCTGAAAAGCCAACAATTAAGAGTATGCACTGAGGCTGCAAGTGAATTTGTTTTAAAATAAACAGACTGAGGAGATGGCTCAGCAGTTAAGAGCACTGGCTGACCTTGCAGAGAACCTGGGTTTGATTTCCAGCACCCACATGGCAGCTAACATCTGTCTGTAACTCCAGTTCCAGGGGCATCTAACGCCCTCTGCTGACCCCCAGGGGCATCTCACGATTCAGGTGCGCTCACACACATGCAGGCACATGCACACACACAAAAAAGGAAACTGCTGTGTGCTTCACCAGTAGATGGCGATCCTGGCAAAGATTTCAGTCTGAGCTGCCAGGAAGGGAGTTGAGGGGCACAGACAAGACCAAAGCTGATTTGCAGGAAGAAATCCAAGACCTAATCCTGTGGCAAGCAGGTGAAAATTGGCAGAGGTGAGGTCACAGCTGGGGGTCTTGAGGACACTCGCAGCCCTGACGCCTTTCTGAAAAGGTGTGCAGCAGCTCCCCCAGACCCCTCCCTCTTCAGACACCAACCCTCCCCAACTGTCTCAGAAACTTTCTTGCAAGCAAGGTTTCCCTCGCCCTCCTTGTTAATTCTGACCCTGGACCCCCGCCCCAGAAAAGCCAGACAGACCTCTCCTGGCTCCTCAGGATCTGCCCTCTTGACCTATTGTAGTGTCTTTGGTTTAACTATGGTTGTAATTTTTTAAATATTTTATTTGTTATTTTTATTTTATGTGTATGAGTATATTGCCTGCACGTATGTGAGTGCACCCGTGTCCTGCAGTTCCTCAGAGGTCAGAAGAGGGCTTCGGATTCCCCTGGAACTGGTGTTAAGGACAGGTCATAACTGCCATGTGGGTGCTGGGAATCGAACCCGGGTCCTCTGAAAGAGCAGTCAGTGCTCTTAACCGCTGAGCCATCTCTGCAGCCCCAACTATGGCTGTAATTTTTATATTTCCAAGAAACATTGTCAGCCATCTCCCGGGCAAATCAAAATGGGAGCTGCTGTGCATGCGCCTGCCCAGGATGTGTCTGGCAGGTGACCCACAGTGGGAATCCAACATGGATGTGCTTGGTAACTCCCTGTGAGTTTGTGAAATAATTGTCTGGGTTGGGAAACAAAAACAGAGATGAGACTGTCAGGACCTACCTACTGTGACTGAGAACAGACTCCAAAGACGCAAGAGTTAGCCAACCACAGGTGAGAGGTAGCAAATTGCTTACAGGGAGCCTGCGGGATGGGGGAGGGGGAGGCCAACGGATGGAATTCCAGCACACTTACTGGGCAAGTAAGTTATACAACTGTCAGTTTCCTCATGAAGTGTCCCTTAGAGTTACCACATGCTCTATTAAGGTAGAAGCTGCACAGTGAAATCTTAAGAAAGGTTCAGTGAGTTGGTGGTACGCTCTTAGCACCATGTAGACAGCTTTCTCAGCCCTCCCAAAGCCACCAACTTGAGCGCAGTAACTTCCGGTTAATGTTTACTTGGCCTCAGCTCCTCCACTTCTAGGCCAGCAGATTCTACTTTGTCCCTGTGTATGAACGACTGTCACAATGGAATGGGTAGGGTGGGGTGGGGGGTTCCAGGGACAGGCCTTGGAGTCCTCCGCTGAGCACGCCCCCCCCCCACACAACTGGCTCAGCACCAGCATTGACCTTCTAACAGTGATGATGCCTCAGGAATGGGGCACCCAGGGGCATCTGCTTTGCAGACTGGCTTGCAGCGGACACCAAGCTCTGCATCCTCACAGGTGCATCCTGGGGGATCAGATGTTGTCCTTGAGCTAAGGGCCCACAACCTGTTTGTTTACGAGCTCTCCTGAGGACCCCTTAGGACAGAAGAGGGAACTGTGGGCTGAGGGAGGTGTCCTATGGCTTGCTGGTCTGACCTTGGCCTGCAACTAGAGCCCGCTAGCAAACCCATCACTCAACCACCAAGTCCCACATCCACATCTGGGATGATCTCTTCTGACTTACGACGCCTCAAGGACCCTTACTCAACATTCCCCAACAACGACAGGCTAAAGTTCCTTCACTCCACAGCCTGCCTCTGAAGTCTCTAGATAGGCTTGGGGGCTACTCTTTCTGAGGGGGTCCCCATCTTGTTAACTTCACTGTGCATCTGGAGGCCTAGGTCTTCCAAAGCTTGCTCCCCCAGGCCGAGTGCCCAACAAGCCTTGTACAAGATTCTCCTTGCGATAAGATGGGAATCTGAGTCCTGGAACCGGCTTCCTTCGTTCCTGACCTGTCATTCCCTGCTTCCGGGAGCTGGCGTTTCACTAGCCCCTCTGACTTGGCTCCCCAGAGTTGGACCGTGAGGGTGTGCCCCAACTCCCCTGATCCCAGAGGCGCCTCTCCGCATTCCCAGATGCACCTATACGTAGGCCGAAGGGAGAAGGTGGGGTGTGTCCCTTTTCAGGTCAACCAGGTGCATCCTGTACCCCACCCTTGCAGAGACCCTCTGGCCCCAGGCGGATCCTCCACACCCCCAGCTTCCACCGGCCCGGAAAGGGAGCTGCGGAGAGGGGCACGCCCAAGCCACCGATCCCCGCGGCCGCCCGCACGTAAGGACCGGCCAGGCGGCCACCCGCCCGCTCCCCTCCCGCCCCGCGCTCCCCGCGGCCGCTTCACACAGCACCAGCCGGCAGGCAAGCTGGGCCTCACGCTCCACGTGCTCGCCGCGGGCCTGGGCGGGGCACCGGCCCGGAAAGGGAGCTGCGGAGAGGGGCACGCCCAAGCCACCGATCCCCGCGGCCGCCCGCACGTAAGGACCGGCCAGGCGGCCACCCGCCCGCTCCCCTCCCGCCCCGCGCTCCCCGCGGCCGCTTCACACAGCACCAGCCGGCAGGCAAGCTGGGCCTCACGCTCCACGTGCTCGCCGCGGGCCTGGGCGGGGGTCTGGGCCCGGAGGCGCGGAGGGG